TTTGCAGTGAATTTGCAGAAGGTAGTTGAAATAATCTTTCTCCACTGGCCACTGCACTCTTCTAAGGAAGAATACACTTAACAAGTCTCTATCCTTGTCTTTATTCTGCTTCATTCCCCAAAAGCACCTGCAATGAATGAAACTCGACACAAAAATTGGAATGCACATGAGCAAGAAGAGGAAAAGTAAAGTGAACATCTTTGTCCTGCTCTGAGCCTTGGCAGTGTGTATTGTGAAGTGCTCTTTAGATCAGTACATTATGTTTGAACACATATATTCCCACCTGCCTTTATTTCTGTAGCCAAAAGAAAGGCTCCTTGTGCATTTATGATTCCTTTTTTTGCAGGTGGTTCCTCACATCTTTAAGAATCTTGGACACTCTCCTCCCTGGGTCTCTGAATCTGATATCCATGTGATTAAATTTTGGGGGAAAATATATATGAAGAGAGTACAGGTAGTTTCATGACATCACTCATATATGTGGAAATTAAGGCTCCTTTGAGATGCTATTTTGGAAAATTTGGTCTCAGGATTGCCTGAAAAAATCTATTTATATTAATGGCTTTAGAAAAGATGTCAGTAAATTTTGTTAGATGATCTACATTGAGACATGCAGTAATGGTTCAGGAAGGACTCACAAAGCCAGAATTTATGGTTACACACTGGGAATTGTATTACAAAACCCTGTCAGGAAACAGCAGCTCCATGATTAGAGTAATTGAGTTCTATACAGCACCCACAGTTGGGCATATGCAACACCAGTGACAGTTACAGAATATCAAACCAAAGTCTGTTTTTCATTGTCATGAGACAATTCTGAAATTTCCTGAATCCTGGTGATACACTACCATCCAACTCATCACATAACCACTGTTACATTTACAACATTACAAAAATGTTGATATTTATAGATTAAAAACATCCATAGAGAGATTTGTGTGTGCTACATTTCAAATATTAAATAAGATCTATCACTCTTCTCCCCAACCAATCATTAAGGAGAAGATAGGGTGAATATTTGATTTCTAAAACATGATTCCCCTCCCCAAGCCTCAGTTCTCACACATCAATTCCTTGTGTTGACCCATTTCTTCTGCTTTGTCTGTGATTTACTAAAATATTTTTCTCATTTTACATTCCAGTACAGGCTGTGAAGAAATCTTGTTGAGTATCATAGAAGGAAATAGAAACTGGGAAGTCACCCTGTGTTTAATGTGTAAATTCTTCTTTTACCATTTTCTATTCAGCTGTTTCTTTTTTCATTCTAGAATCTGCACTGCCAGTGTTAGAGAGTTCTGATAAGTGTGAGGTGATGAGCCTCTTTGAGTGGATATGGACTTCAGAGAAATAAGAACAAATGTAGAGCAAGTCTTTTTCTGTGAGTAGTTATGTCTTCTATAACATTAGAGATGAGGCAGAATGGGGTAAAGTTTTTATCAACTCCACATCTGACAGAAGCTAACATGCACAGTATAGAAAGAGATCAAGAAAAATTCCTGCTAACCCACAGACTATGCCTGCCAGAAATCCAGGTAGACTACCTGTAGATCTTATTTTCTCCCTCTTTCTTCCAGATTCAACCTCCCAAGGCTTTTTACCAGCTTTTTAGCAAAACTACAGTGGCAGCCTTTAGAGACCAACTGTTGACACTTCCTGTCAGTCCCACATTCTTCCCCTTTGAAACCTCCCTGGCAACACCCATTGCTGTATCACAGCACCCAACTCCAGCAGGCACATATTACTTACACACAGGTCAATCCTTCCAGAAAACAAACAAGGCTTCCCTTAAACCTTCTCTCTCCATCTGTTTCTACAGAACCAATCCCCTCCTCCCTGCCCTGATATCATCCACAGCAATGCAGGAGAACACCTCTGGCAGCCTGCTGCCTGACCTAAAAATGATAATGCAAACTAGCTATACAATGTGTCTCTACTAGTGCCTAGTAACTCTACTACCTCAGTCTCTGAATATTCCAACATTTCTGAAGCCCACAAAAAGACTTTAAATAACCTTTATAAATATAATTAAGGTTCTAAAGATGAAGTTACTAAATCCTTTAAACAAATCCAGGGGAAAAATAGGTAGGAAGCAGAAGCTTAATGACTCAGAGACCTTGGGCAGAACCAAACACAACTGACCAAAATAAAAACAAACAAACAAACAAAAAAGACAATTGAATTGATTCCTAAATATTCTGCAATGCTTGTAGATCAGTGTCTAGCCCAGTCAACACCAGGGAGGCATCCTCTGTCAACTGTTGGAAGCATATTCAGAGATGAGACCCACAGCCAAACATTAAGTGGAACACAGGTAACCCTGGAGAAGAGGAGGAGGAAGGGTTAGAGGAGTCAGAGGTGTCAAGGAAATCAGGAGAACACGGTCCTCAGAAGCAAATAAGGAGGGATTATGGGGGCTCACAACAACTGAAGCAGAAATCATGGCGCCTGTATGGTTCTATGCTAGGTCCTCTGCATACATACAGAAGTTGTTTGGGGTATGTTTGGGACTCCTAACAGTGGAAGAATTGTGTCTTTGACTCTCTTGTCTGCTCATGAGACATCTTTCCTCCTATTGGGCTGCCTCATCCAGCCTTGACATAATGGATTTTGCCCAGTTTTGTTGTCACTTGTTATGCTGTGTTTGCTCGACCTCCCTGGGAGGCCTGCCCTTTAATGAAGGGAAAAGGAGAAGCAGTGGATCTAGTAGAGAGCAGATGTGTGTGTGTGGAGTGAGACAGAATGGAGTGGAGGAAGGGGAAGCTATGGTCAGAATATATTAGCATGAAAATAATAATGATTAAAAAAGAAATCTGGGAAAACACAAATAAACAGGGGAAGTGAATAAATATAACAGTTCAAGACCTAAAAATATATATGAAATCAATAATAAAAAAATGACCCAAAGTGAAATAATTCTAGAAATCAAAAGTTTAGGATTTTACTCTGGAACAATAGAATCAAGCTTCAACAACTGAATACACTATCATTCCTACTCAATTTTTCATACATCTTCAGAGGACAATATTCAGCTTCATAGGGAAAAACAACAAAACAGAATTATGATGATATTTTATTTGTGCCCTAACAAATAAAGCTTGCTTGGAAATTAGAGGAAAAAAGTCAGCCACTATATTAAACATAGAGGCCAAGCAATGATAGCACACACCTTTAATCCGAGCACTTGTGAGGCAGAGTTTCATTCAAATCTCTGTGAGTTAAAGGCCACACTGGGAACAGAGTCAGGCATGGTGGTACATGCCTTTATCCCAGAACTAGTGTTTTGTTGTTGTTGTTTTCTTTTGTTTTGTTGTTGTTGTTTGGGGGGGGTTGTTTCTTTTTCTTTTTTTTTTCTTTTTTTTTTTTTTTTTTTTTTTTTTTTTTTGAGACCGGGTTTCTCTGTGTAGCTTTGTGCCTTTTCTGGAACTCACTCTGTAGCCCAGGCTGCCCTTGAACTCACAGAGATCCACCTGCCTCTGTCTTCTGAATGCTGGGATTAAAGTCATGTGCCACCACTCCCTACCCCCGGCTTAATCCCAGAACTAGTTAGCCATAGAGGTCGGGATGTCTGTACAGACAGACAGGAAGTGATGGAGCTGGATGGAAAGAGGAAGTGATGTAGCTGGACTGAGAGAGGAACTAAGATGGCAAGGCACAGGAAAGTATATAGGTGTGAATATACAGGAAGTAGCTCTCCCTTGGACTAGGATTTTCTACCAGTAAGAACTTGTGGCTGGCTTGTTTTATCCCTCTGGTCTTTCAGCTTTCACCCCAATATCTGGCTCCTGGTTTTTTATTAATAAGACCATTTAGCAATTCATGTTACACAGAATAGCTGAAATAATCATGAAAAATTAAAGTTTCACCATTCCTGATTTCAAATTGTACAGACAGGTCTAATAACAAAAACAGCATAGTATTGGAATTAAAAGAGATAGGTTGAACATTGGAATCAAATTGAAGTCCTAGATATATATTCACTCACCTATGGAACCTAATTTTGATAAAGAAAACAAAAATACACAGTTGAAAAAATAAGACATCTTCAATAAATTTCCGCATACAGAAGACATCCTGCAACAGTTCCATAAATATCAACCTGCACAAAACTCAAAGCCAAATTTATCAAGTGGCTTAACATAATACCAGATACACTGAACCTGGTAGAAAAGAAAGTGGGCAAGAGACTTGAGGTGATTGGAATGGGAGAAGAATTTCTGAAAAGAACACCATTAGTACACACACTAAGACCAACCATTAATGAATAGGGCCTCATGAAACTGAATAGGTACTCCAAGGCAAAGGACACTATCATTGAGAAAAAACGGCAGATTAAGGAATGGAAAAAGAAGGGTTTTATCATCTCCACATCTGATAATGTCCTAATATCCAAAATATATAAAAACTCAAGACAGTAGGTATCTAAACACAAATAATTCAATTTTAAAATGTGGTAGAGATCTAAACCCGGAGTTAACTAAAGAGGAAACTTGAATTGGTGAGAAACACTTAAAGAAATGCTCTTCTACCTCATCTTACTGTGGATTGTTTTGCCTGGTGTGGTGTTTGTATCTTTGTGTCCTGCTCTTTTGGGTAGGGAAATGGAGGCATAATGGATATTGTAGAGAGGGTAAGTAGGGGGGAGTTGAGTGTGAAAATACCACACTGTGTTTAGTTTCACCATTCAAGGGCTGTCAAAGCCACACATTCAGTCAGACATCTAAAGAAGAACACAGTTTATTTCAAATCTTCATTTACATTAAAGAAAGAATAGAACTTCTACACTGGAATAATATCCAATAGCCAGGTTTTATAAAATAAGCATTTGATTGGAAGTTTACAGGAGACAATGTACAGAAAAGCAGCATATATGATGATTCTCAGCATAGTCATTAGAAGAAAGAGTGAGAGTCACAAAATAATGCATACCTCTTGCACTGTATCTTAATAGGTGGTTCTGTACCAACACTAAAGTTGTCAATTTCTATTTAGGATCTCTAAGTTCAGAAAGATATTTTTTCCTTTAACTTTTGAAGAGAATTTCTCTCTGGTCTTAACAAAATTATGTAGCACTTGGGAACAAAAATGCATCCCAGCAGGCCAACACTTGAAGCCAAGATGGAGAAGACCTCCACAGCCACCATGACCTTGCCCTTGGTGCTGTGGTAGACAGGCAGAAAGGTGACCCAGACACTGCAGAACAACAGCATGCTGAAGGTCAGCAACTTGGCTTTATTGAATGTGTCAGGGAGATTCCTGGCCAAGAAAGCCACAATGAAGCTCCCAAAGGCAAGGGAGCCATGGTATCCCAAGACACAGTAGAAAGCAGTAACTGAACCCTTGTCACACACAATGATGATTTGGCCATGCTCAGAGTGTACATCAATGTCAATAGATGGAGGAGAAATTCCCAGCCAGATTGCACAGAGAATAATTTGGATGAGGGTACAGATGCCAATGATAGAGTTGGGAGCCCCTAAAGTCAAGTAGAACCTTATCCTTCTTCCTGGGGCTGTGACTTTGAAAGCAAGAACAACAGTAACTGTTTTGGCCAACACAGTGGAAATAGCCACAGTGAATACAACTCCAAATGTGATTTGCTGCAGGATACATTTAGCTGCATTAGGTTGGCCAATAAAGAGCAAGGGACACAGGAAACAAAAGAGGAGTGAGATGATCAAGGTGTAGCTGAGACTGCGGTTATTGGCCTTGACAATGGGAGTGTCATGATGCTTCACAAATACCCCAAGAACCACAGTTGTGAATGCAGTGAAGCACATGGACATTAAGATCAGAGCCATCCCCAAGGGGTCTTCATAGGTCAGAAAGACTACAGATTTGGGAATGCACCGGTTTTTCTCAGCATTCGCATACTGCTCCTCTGGACACTTCATACACTGATCCACATCTGATGGAGAAAGGAAAGTATGATTAGTGTAGCTTCAGCATTTTTAGAGACAAGGTATTTCAATTAAGTGTGCTGCAGAAGCAGTCCAATGTCCACATTCTTCCTGCGGATGTAGGTGAAAGGTATTGCTGCATACCAATGCTTCAATTTCACTATATTCACTCATTATATCTATGTGTAAGGAAACCAAACAATCATTATGTTGTGTATTTAACTGTGTGTTAATGATTCCATTCATCATCTTAAGGAAAGCACAGATATTTCAGAACAATTCTGGATACGATATGAAAGTGACTTAAAGTTTTTAAGTGACAGAAGCCGAAATCTTTAACCATTGTTTTGCACAATGTATATTTTAAAGTCCTAGATCCCACAAATGCACTGCTTGCTGATTTCTTTCTGTTCTATGAATGCTGTCCATGTGACAGATGGAGACTGTGTCTTCTCCTGGGACAAGACCTCTGATGTATTTTCTAGTATGAATTTGTCAAGTCAAATGCATTGACATAGAAGCAACACTAAACAGAATCAGTAGGGATTCTTAGAGTCAGCAAACTGTACCCCAGAATCAAGTTCTCAACACAAAGGAGATTTATTTGCCTTGGAGGTGAATGGTGAGGGAATAAGAGACAAAGACAGGAGAGAGAGGATGAGGGAGAAGGAAAAGGACCATGGAGATGGGGAACAGGTATTTGGCTGGAATGCAAAGAACTGCCTCTGGATAGAGAGGAGACAGACATGCCCTGACGGAAAATGGCAGTTTATAAAGGTAAAAGGGTCAGCCCACCTGAGGATGAAGTGTTTAATTTGATAGTCACATCAGTTAGGACAGCCACAGTCAGGCTAGCCTGACTTCAATACTTTGATATAAAGACCTTGATAGAGAGCCTTAGGAGGAGGAAGTGGCCAACTAAGGGAACAGACCTTAGTGGCTAGCTTTAAGTATGTAATTGTCAGCCTGTAGATAGCATTTCATGTCTCTATTTCTAGCACAAGAGAAGCAGAGGCAAGCAGAATTCTGTGAGTTCAATGGCAGTGTGGTCTACAGAGCTACTTCTAGTATAGCCAGAGCTACACATAAAACCCTGTCTCAAAAACACACAAAAAAACTGTAAAATGTTTTAGGTAGTGTTTCTATTGCTGTGAGGAGAAAGCATGACCTTGGCAACTCTTGTAAAGAAAAACATTTAATTGGGCGTCTTATAGTTCAGAGGTTTAATTTATTATTATGTTTGGGCATAGTGGCATGCATGCAGACCTGGTGCTGTAGAGAGTACATTAAAATTATACATCTTTGAACCATAGGCCCTAGTAATAAACTGACTCACTGAGTGTGGCTGGAGTGTATCTGAGACTTCAAATTCTGCCTCCAGAGTGACACGCTTCCTCCAAAAAGACCACATTTCCTCAACAAGGCAACACCTACTAATAAAACCACTCATCATGACCTTGGGGGGACAAATCACATTCAAACTACCACAGTAATCTAGTGGTTCTTAGAAAGGCAAAGGGAATGTAAGAGAAAGGCAGGGCTTGAAAGACACATTTTGGCCATACGTGGTCTGGCTAAATTCCCTTCAGAATCATTAAGTTTTGTGTGTGTGTGTGTGTGTGTGTGTGTGTGTGTATGTGTGTCTACACATAGAGTAGCAAAAGAACTCATGAATATCAGAGTGATTCAGTTTATATGATGTAAGGAAGAGGAGGAAATGGTAGAAGAAAGTTATATAATTTTGATGTTTGAAAATGCAAAATTAATGAAACACATTAAATGAATATTCCCTTAGTTGTGTTCTCATCTGGCAGTAAGGACCCTGTACTCCTGAGGTTTGGTCAAAAGCTGCAGTAACCCTAACACTCAATGTAGAAACCTCTGTATATTTTTAAAATTAAAAAGCCCTGCATTTTGATTCCATCACCCTTCAGACGAGAAAGCACCTTCCTCCTCCCCTAATTTCTATGTATGTGAGACCCAGACTCTGTGAGTGTTCTCCAGTATGAAGAGGATATTGACATAGCACCATGAACAACCGAACACAAGAACATTCAAGCAAGAGTGATAGCACCGACTGTTTGTTTTGAATAATGGATCCCATTCATAAACTGTAATCTCTAACCTGGCAAGATATGGAAATGTGATTACAATTGCTCTGAATCAGTGTCTATTTGAAGAGAATCATGTTGTGCTTCTAGGTTTTAAGTCTTTTTTATCTAGGACAATGACTTTAAGGACACATGTAATTAGTTAACTTGTTTAAGGAACTGAAAGTTTGCTCAGTTGTAAAAACAATGTACTGTTCTTGAAGCCCTGAGTTAATCCCCAGCACCCATGTCAGATGTCTCACAGCTGGCTGTAACTCTACAGAGACACTGGATGCCTTCCTTGCACATGCACCTGCAATTGTGCACACATAACCACTCATCACACCTTCATACACAAAAAGTAATTATAAAATATTTTTGCTTAAGTTTTGTTGTATTTATCCTTGTAAATACCCATTAATCTTATGTTTTTACATTTAAAACAATTTCACTAGGTTTTAATTACTTCAGTGAATGTTACATGTGTGAGTGCTAGCTCTTCTTACTACATAGGGATGAACTCATCATCAGCTATAATAGAAAGGGATTTAACTGCTGTGGCATATTACTGGCCATACGTTTCATTTGGGGACTTTCATGTCATTGCATAGGTTGACAGGCAATAGAAGAGAAAAACAATCTGTTTGCCATTTGCATGGAAGCAACTCTAAACAAATAATCATTTGACTAATAAGGGCTGTGTGGGTGACAACACCATTCAGATATTTGTGGCTAGGTGCTTTCATACAAAATAATTTGTCTCATATTTGTGACATTATTAAATGAGTGATATACAAAAAAAGTATTGAATACGGGACTCTTCTGATTTTCTACATTAGGTGCCAACTCTTATTCATACTTTCCTAGACTTCAAATCACATCAATCCTTTGATAATTGTTGAATATTACTTGAAGTTTTCTATCTCATGCGAACAATTTATGGTAATTTTGTAAGTAATTATTCCTGTCTCCATTAATCTTACAGAGTACTTTCATTTGGTTCCTAGCACCCACATAATAAAGTTCAGTGGCTCTGATGCCCTGTTCTGTTCTCCACTGATTCCTGCACATACATGATGCATAAATACTTATGTAGGGATACATACATACATGCAATTTGAATAAATAAATACTACTAAAGATTAATGACTGGAATAAAATCTACATGCAATTTTAGAGTAGATAATCACACTAGGAAACACCTTGTGTAGAATTCTCTCATACGTCAGTTCGATTATCAAAACGGTTTCTTTGAGAAAAAGACTCATGACATGAATTTTCAATGAGTAAAAGCTGTATGCCATGGCAAAAGGTGTTAATTGGAGATATGCTGTCATTGATCACATTTCTATAAAAACGAACATAGGTATCATTTCTGTGTGGGTTAGAGAGGATGATCATTGAGAAGAATTTATCTAGCAGCAAACACTCACTTGTCTCATTAGTTATTTCATTTTCTGGGCAGGAGTTGCAATCAAAACAGCAGACTGTCATTCCCTCTTGCCAGAATTTTCTGAATCCAGGACCACAATCAGCACTGCACACAGAGGGCGGCATCTGAGAAAAATTAAACAAATGCTATTATCAGTAGTTTTACCTACTTCTTCCATATCTGTATTATATGAGCATGGTGAAATGACTATTTTATATACACAAAATTACTGACCACATTTTATATATACAATAAGCTTATTTTATATGCATCAAATAAGTGACCACATTTCACTTAGTATATTATATAATGCAGTATATATATGAATCTGTGGAAACAATAATGTAAAGTTGAGTAGCTTCACATTTTTAGAAATTTAGAAAGAATAGATTGTTTGTTGTGGGCAAACACTATGGTGCTTGCAAATTGGTTTTTCTAGTTAATTTTTGTCAACTTACCCCAAAGTACATTAAAATGCTAGTCGGAACCTCAACTAAAAAAGTCTTCTTCAGTGAACTAGCCTGTCGTCCTACCTTTAATACATTTACTAATTGGTACTTGATTTAGGAGTACTCAGCCAACTGTGGGCATTGTTATCCATAGGCAGGGCTGTATGAGAAATCAAGCAGAGCAAGCCAGTAAGTAGTGGTTTTTCCCCTAAGGGTTTATGCTTTAGTTGCAGACTCCAGAATCCTTCCTTGTCTTCCCTTAACTGTAAACCATGAACCTAATCAACCATTCCTTTCACCTTTTTTATAGTCAGTGTTTAATTACAATAATAGCATAGCAAGCTAGAACTAGTGGACATCTGAAACAGGGGAAATAACTTCTCATATCTCAGATACCATACATGAACTCTGATAAAATATCACTCCAAAGCATGAAAAATGGAGTATAAGAAAACACAGGTAAATGGCAGAGCCTGGTACATTTGTAGTGATAAAGTACTTACTGCATTCGCAAGAATTGAAGTGGAAGGTGCAGGGTTTCCTGAGGTGAAAATTCTTTACAAAAGCTGTATATTGGGGGAACCTGAATAAAAATTAGCTTGCTTAATCTTAATTAAAGGTTTTTTTAAGTGAAAATACAAAATCTTGGTTTCATCAAAAATCTGCTTAGCAGGATCTGTATGCTGCTTCAGAAATTTGATGATTGTTGTTCATTCACTTTGCATCCTTTCTTTAGTTCTGTGTTGAAACTGCAATGTCTCTTATGCACTGGCTCTTTCATGTTCTCTATAATATGATTAACTAGAAATCTTCCTTTTCTTTTGAAGTTTTCTTGAAAGAAGGTCTCAAAATATACTGTTGATAGACCACAACTCCTGATATAAACTAGGCTGATTTGGTTACCACGGAGGTCTGAGTCTCCTTCCTCCTGAATACTGGATTAAAATATATGCTGTCAGCAGGCACATTTCTTCCCTTCTTTTCTGTTTATCATGTTTACAATTTCTTTTTGGACTTGCTAAGATATTAAGGACTATTTTGAAGAAGAGTGGAGAATATGTATATACTTCTTCCATTTCTGACCATTATTTTTAGGCAGGGTCTCTGTATGCAAACCTAGCATGCTTGGACTTGCCATGCAGGTAAGACTGGACACACAAACAGACATAAATTTGCATGTCTGTTCCTTCCAAGAGTTTGGATTAAAGATATGAACCATCATATACATCTGGCCTCACTGATGATTTTAATGGAAATGCTTTGAGTATCTCCTCATATAGTACAATGTTCACAATAGGATTGTCTTAGAAAATCTTTTTAATGTGACCAATCTGCACAATGTAACTATTTATTAATAAAGGAAGAAACCTTATTAAGTCAATATGTGTTCAGTTTACTGTTTCAGGTTTTTGTTTGTTTTAAATTTTAACTCTGAATGGATGCTGAACTTTGTTAACCTTTTCTGCCCATATTTAAATGATCATGTATTTCTATCCTTGAGTTTATTTATATGCCACATTTACTTTAGTGATGTGCATATATTAAGCCATTTTTGTATCCCTAGAATGAAGTCATCTTTGACACAAGGACAGATATTTCTGCTGTGTCGTTGAGTTATATTACTCAGTGTTAAGTTGAGAATTTTTCCATCCATGTACATCAATGCATTTAGTCTCTAGTTCTCTTTATTATGCTTCATTTCTTCAACATTCTTTCACCACATATTTACTGGAGGGATTTCTGCATGTTTGTAAGTGAGGTTAGTTTCTGGATGCAAAAATGACTGTTGGTTTTACAAAACAATCTTGATGTTTGTGTATTTTCATTACAGAATATGAAGACTAACATTGAATTGTTATTGAGAATTATTTGCTAATTTTGGTCTGTTATAATATTTAATACTCTTCTAACAGTTGTTTTTCTGTCTGGTGTTCTAGTGCTGTCTTGGTATTACTTGATCATTTGAATATATCTTACTTTTCCATACGTAGATATTCTTCAAGTGTTTCCATAGTATTGTAAAAATGTTTATGAATTTCTATAAATTATGTTCATCATTGAGCATTGTTCTGTCTTTGTATTAATTAGGGTTCTCAGGAGTAACAGATCTTACAGAATGAATATGTCTCTGTTTCTTTCTATATATGTATGTTTACATATATACAATTGTTAGAATGTCTTATAGGCTAAAGTTTAGCTATTCCAACAATTGCTGCATGGTAATGGAAAACCCAAGAATCCAGAAACTGCTTAGTCCATGAGGAAGAAGGTCTTCAGTATATATTAGAACCCCAAAGAAATAGGTTCTAAAGCCAGTGAAAGAACAGGTGTGCTAACAAGGTAAGAGCAAGGAGACAAAGAATAAGACCTTCCTTTTTCAATGTTCTTATATAGACTTCCAACAGAGGGTGTAGATCTAGATAAACATGAGCTTTCTAAAATTAAATAATCTGGATTAATGATGTGTCTTCCCAAATTAAGTCCCAGATAAAAGATGTGTTTTTTCCCTTCTTAAAAAAATCTCAATTTGGATTCTTTCTTCTCCTAGCTGATCACCCTGGCCTCTAGGCTTTAGGCTCTGGGTTACAACCTGTTTCCCCATACCCCTACCTATTGCTGCCTCAGTTGCAGGCCAGCAGGAAGTACTCCTGAAGGCAGGGCTGACAACCACCATTCTACTTCAGACCTGTGAGACCCATTCCCCTGCCCAAACCCAACCATCCTGGGAGACTGCAGCTGCTTCCTGAGACACAGACTTTGCCAGCTCTGATTGGATCAAGAGGTGATTCTTTGTTCTCCTAGCCAAACACCTAGACTCTAGGCTTTAGGCCCAGGGGCATAACATGTCCCCCAGACCCCAAACAATTGCAGCCCCAGGTGCAGGCCAGCAATCAGGACTGCTGCAGACAGGGCTGATGACCACCACTCCACACCGGATCCTGTAACCTACGGGCCCCACTCCATCGCCCAAACCAACCCCAAGACCACAGCTGAGACTAAGACCTTACCAACTCTAATTGAACCAAGAGCTCCAATTGGACCAAAGTGCCGATTAGACCAAATGTGGGTCCCTGAGACACAGACACCATTGGCACCAAATCAAGGAAGAGATGGGTAGATGTCAGCATAAGAATATATTCAACAGCATAAAGAGTAATATGGCACTACTATAATGTAATGGTTCTACGTCAGCAAGACCTGAACCCAAAGTAGAAGAAACAAAGAAAATGACCTCAGAAATGATTTTAAGAAGATGATAGAGGCTTTAAAGAGGAAATGAAAAATTCCCTTAAAGAAATCAATGAAAATAGAAACGAAAAATTGGAAAAAAATCAATAAATCCCTTAAATAAAGCCAAGAAAACCAATAAAAAGAGGTCAAATAGGTGAAGGAATCAGTGCAACACTTGAAAACTGAAATAGAGGCAATAAAGAAGACACAAACTGAGGGAATGCTCAAAATAGAAAAAGCGAGGAAATTTAAAGGAACTGTTGCTGCTCATGAATAGGGCTCAAGTTTTTTTTTTCTGGTACTCATTTTGTGCCACTAAGTTGTCTCCACTTTCTAGGGATCCAAGTTACTGTTTTGGAATCCTTATGCACCACACATTCCAATGTTAAATAGACATACATGCAGACACAACATTCATACCCACAACAAAGAAAAAGAAAGAGAAAAAACAAGGTTATAATTCTCAGGGTATCTAAAAGTATCATGAAAATGTTATATTGATGTATGGCTAGAGATGTTGGCAGTAAAGGACATGTTGGGAAAAAGGCTTAAAACAAATTTTGTAATAAAAGATAATAATTTGCATATGTTTAATTTACTCCATGTCAAAGGTTCAGCAGAAAAGAGGAAAATCATTATGTAGCAATCAGAGTAGTACCAAGAGAATTTTGCTTAATTTACTGGAAACAATATTAAACCATGGTAACAAGCATTTTTATTTTATATTAAAAAACAGAAATGTGTTCTTGTATACTAAAAACTCAATGTGTGCATGTCTGAAATCCTCAAAGAATTAATAAAACATCACAACAGGAATTGAAAAGCAGAGACATATTAAAGGAGGATAAAGAATGGTTCCCAATGTGACAGTCTATCTCACTTAACTAAGTTACAAGGAAGCACAAATGGATCAATTGACAGTGCTACTGCTTTGTAATGGAAATCGGAACAGTAAGGTCAGACTCACCTCTCTACTTCCTGCGGCCCACTCTATAATGTCTTCATATAAATAGAGCTGTTGACCATGTGGAAAATATGGGCTAAACTTTCCAATCTTCACCTTAAGTCCAAGACCATTTGGTAAATTCCAAATCTGGAAAATGTCATACTCTGCCTGCAGCTTTTCTTTCTGTTTCATATTCACTTTGTCCCCAACAGTATAGGTGAAGTGGGTCTTCCTAAGAATGGAGTGCAGCTGAAAGACAGTCAACATTCTATAGTGTGTGTGCCCTTCCCTGAAGTCAGAAAAAGTATTCTGATTCCATTATAAATACAATTTGATTGAAGGTTTACAGTTGAGAAATCTCAATGAAAGCAAGTGGATTAGTATAATTATCATAATATCCCGAGAATTTTAATTCTTTCAGAGGAAACTATCAAACACAAATGCAGACATACATGCAGACACCAAACTAAATATTAAATATGCACACACATAGACACACACTCATATCCATACAGAGATACATACATAATACAGCCATATACTGTTTACTCACACATACATATGTAAGCCAAGACACACAAGTGAACATTGAGGCATACAAAGATACTCTTATGCATCCAAATAGGCACAGAGAAACAGAAACCAACAAAGAACATATACAGGTTCACACATACATTCACAAATTCATAGATATATACAGATACAAACACACAAGGGGACACTGACGAAGACAAATTTGTAGGTAGAGTTTTCCTGCCTGGCCCACAGTCAGGACAAATCTCTCTTACCTGCCAGTCCCACAGCCGCTCAAAACCGACCAAGTAAACACAGAGACTTATATTGGTTATAAACTGTATGGCCGTGGCAGGCTTCTTGCTAACAGTTCTTAGAGCTTAAATTAATCCATTTCCATTAATCTATAACTTGCCACATGGCTTGTGGCTTACCGGCATCTTCACATGCTGTTTGTCCTGGTGGCGTCTGGCAGTGTCTCTGTGACTCAGCCTTCCACTTCTCAGCTGTATTCTCCTCCTTGTCCCGCCTATACTTCCTGCCTAGCCAATGGCCAATCAGTGTTTTATTTATTGACTAATCAGCAACACATTTGCAATACAGAACATCCCACAGCACAAATTTATACAGAAATCCAAAGACAGACAGCCACACACACAAATACATACAGATATGCTGAAACACAGATATACATATGTGCAATCTAATCCAAAAATACACACAAATCACACACATATGCACATGTAGACACATGCACTGACAAATACACACAGGAAAACACACTTCCACAAAAAAAAAAAAAAAAAACATTGATGTAAGACAAATTTGTGCTCTTCTACAGACAGATATGCAGATAGACAGAAACACACATATATATACAAATCATATATATATATACACAGATACACAGAACCACACAAACATGTATCCATACCCAGTGATAACCATCCAAAAACATATGGATACATACATACATACATACATACATACATACATACATCACAGCATTATTTCCTGTGTATTTTCCAGAGCCTAAAGTGGAGGCAGAATCAGTTAATAACACCTTTGAAAAACATCCACTACACTGATTATCACATATTTGACAATTCATGAGCAAAAGCTTATCTTTGCATCATGGAGAGGATTAAAGAAGACCTCATATGTTTCCAGTATTAGAAGAGGGATGATGATATTCAGGTGCTCTGTAACAAAATCACTGAATTTCATTGATAAATTGTGTGTTTCACTCTACTGTCTTTGCATTTAAGTTTTATAGCACACACTAGATTTATTATTTTCAGGAAGAAAAATATTGAGAAATCTTTATATTTGGTAAAATATTTCTTAATCAACTAGAATGGGGCATCAGAGAGACTATTAAAGACTCTTACTTTGATCACACCAAATATCATCCAATAGAAAAAATATTACCTTCAAGCAATTTGATTGGGATTCTTTTCCATTGTTGACTGGCTGAAGAAGCATCATATTGAAGAAATGGGCCACCATATACACAGCATCATATATATCGTAATTGACATCATTAAATGCCATGTCAAAAGTCTCTACCTTTAGCCATTCCAATGAGGCATTGGATGAGCAATTCATCAGTGTCTTACACTTAGAATCTGAAACTTCACAGTTAAATTTCATCCACTCCAGACTTGGCAGGATTTCATTTGGGGTGAGAGGGCTCAAGGTCTGGAGAAAATTTTTAAAACCAGAAATCTCAGTATGGTGGTGTGCAAAAGCTAGAGTCCTGTGAGATGAGTCAAGTGTTAAATCGCTCTGGCTTGGAATGACATCCCACTGTGAGGTGGTGATCCATACTCTCTGTATACCTAGAGATTCCCACATTCTAAAGCTCTCAGCTAGAGTACTGTCTGTATCACCGTAAATGATAACAACATTTGAGGATGATGTCATGATTTGGTTATAATACACTTCAGCTCTTGACATGTATAAATTCATGTTGACCGGAATCATGTTCACAAAGGCAAAGCAGATTGTATTTTGTTCCATCTCTCTTCTCAAATCTGAGAGAAACTGGGTACCCTGATCATTGTCTGAAATGGCCAGCCCTACCCAGTTCCAGCTGAAGTGAATCATGAGAGAGATCATGGCCAGGGCTAGAGCTGTGTCCTTGGGGGCCATCTGATACAAATAAGGAAACTGTTCCTGATCACTGAGGATGGGATGGAAGTGTCCAAAGGTAAGCTGAATGACCTAGGACACAGAGAGGAGCATGAGGAACCATGAACTCCTAACAACTTCTTAAACACACTTTTCTGCAAAGAATTCTTAAATAGATCCTTACTTGTTAATTCTTCCCTTATCTATACTTCAAAAGAAGAAATACAAAAGGCCCATAAAATCCCTTGAACTACATAGTTTTACATAAGTGTAAGGTCAGTTTCATAAGGTCAGATTCCCCCTCACATCCTTCTTATTATCTTGGAATGGCATCAATAGAGACAGGATTTCTTGCAACCCATCACACAAAATCTCACCTGCTGTGAATATCTGAGGTCCATTGCTTTACCAAATATTAAAGATTTTGCCCAGTTTGGTCCTGAAAGTACCACTGTACACATGTTATTTCCATTACATATATAATTCTCAGGATTATCAGTGATTACAGAAGATTGAATGTCACTGTATAATTGCGAAATAGTATCACATTGACTTGGAAAATATTGAAATGCTAATGACATATTTGGTAAAAGATCAGGGTTTCTGTTGACTTCATCCACTGTAAAAGCTAAGGCCAATACAATGGGATTGGCTTCACTTCCTTGTCTGCAAAAGGTTACAGTGATTAATAGGGACAGAGATATAAAGTTGATTATGTAGTCAGTAAAAGGACTATCCTGTACTGGATGGTTTTCCCAACCACACCCACAGTTTGAAACAAATATTCTGTATTGGGATGTTGGGATGACAGAAGAAGATGGAAATTTGCAAAAGGTTTAAAAGTTCATGAGAGAGCATCTACCATAAATAAGATGAGACATTGGTGTCTTTGACAGAGAGCATTGTCCATCTCTGGTTTTTGAGTGCTTTCTCTGGAGGTAAAGACAAGGCCTCAGGATTTGACGAAACAACAAATCTCATCATGCTTTCATTTTTAAATTATTGAGCAATATGGAAAAAGCACATGATATGTGAGCCATTGAGTTTGTGGTACTTTCTTAAGACAGTAACTGATTTAGGTAAGGCAGTCATAAATGTCAGGTAAGGCAGTCATAAATGTCAGGTGTATGCACAATAGTCTGGGCAACATTTGGCTCCTGTACTTAAAATTCTTTATAATCAGGCAATATAGTTATCATATCTCATCCTGACCATCTTCATATTCTTTTCTCTCTGGTTTATATACTGCAGTCATAAAATCTTTTTAGGGATTTATTTTTAAATAAACTCAAATACCAGAAATGCATTTGTTTAAGATGCATGCCTATATTCATCTGTGAGTATGGACAGTATTACTGCTCACTTAGGCCATAAGTAGGAAATGGATTCTGCAGTTTTGAATGATGCTTAGCTGTAGACTAAACTGACCTCAAATGCACAGAGATGCATTTTCTCTGGGTCCTGAGTACAGCAATTAAGGGCATGTACTTTCTTTCTGCATTGCTCACCTATTTATGTTTATACTGGCATGTCATAAATTCACACTGGGTATATCAGAACAATATAATATTTTTCTATAAAAAACATCTTTTGAATATCTTTCCAGTTACACTAACACAAAACTAGCAACCTACTGAGATTTGGATGTGCCAATGTTGCATGTTTCTTTTTTTGTTTGTTTGTTTTTTGTGGTTTTTTTTTTCTTTTTGAGACAGGGTTTTTTCGTGTAGTTTTGGTTCCTTTTCTGGCTCTGGCTCTGTAGACCAGGCTGGCCTCAAACTCACAGAGATCCGCCTGGCTCTGCCTCCCAAGTGCTTTGATTAAAGGAGTGTGCCACCACCGCCCAGCATGTTACATGTTTCTTAAATAGAAATCTCTATAATGTAAAATGCATGGAAAAATTTATGGAGTTTTATGCAAAAAAAAGCATAACAGGTGAGTTGCAATAGAATAATACCAATTTGTGTTCATGTTTATGGGAAGAATAATAACTCATGTTTCTTCCTAGTCATCTCAAACTATTCGACCAATAAAGATCAAATATACAACTTCATTCTGAATAATTCCCAAAGAGTTAAATACAATATTTTTCCCACTTAGGAATTTTTACACTGTGGTATCTTTATGTATGAAAATAGGAATTTATGGACACATTTTTAATAAAAACATTTTAGGATATCCTTTATTATCACACAGGAGAAAGTGTCTTTGAAAAAGTAAAATAACACACATCAAGTACTTGACATTAGAACTTGTTAAAATCAAACAATATATTCAGCACACTAAACATAAAGAAACATCAAGCCAGGCGGTGGTGACACACACCTTTAATCCCAGCACTTGGGAGGCAGAGCCTGGCTGATCTCTGTGAGTTCAAGGCCAGCCTGGACTACCAAGTGAGTTTCAGGAAAGGCACAAAGCTACACAGAGAAACCCTGTCTTGAAAAACCAAAAAAAAAAAGAAACATAAATTACTTGAGCTGTTAGAGTCACCTAGTGAACTAAAGTGCTGTCTTTAAAACAGCTATCAGCAGGTCACAGAATCAAAATGGGTATAGTGCTGCAATTGGTAAAATATGCACATATGATTAATAAAATTACTTAATGAAAAACATAAGAGGCAAATATAATATAAGTGTCAGACAATAAACAGCACAGATAAAAAGAGAGAAGAAACATGTTTCTTAAATAACGGAAAAGATGAGCTAGTGGGTAACTTCACTAATCCTGTTCTCAACTGTTGCCAAGTGTCACATGCCACAGCTGTTTCTAAGGCAAGTGACAAGGGAGGTAAGCAGTCACCACTGTTAGTGACAGAAAGGTGAAGCCTCACTTTTTGAAGAATGAAAACCTATCATTTACAGTACATATAAGACTTCTTTACTCTAAAGAAAAAGTGAAGAATTGGACTTTGAAACTAAAGTCCAGTAGTTATACATATATATAAGTGAAGTATGGAGAAACAGGAACACATATGAAGTTCAAAGTGGGCAGGTTTCCTACTTACATTCTGGATGCATCTTTATAATTCATTCTTTGACCACATGCAGATTATCTGAGAAAGTAACTGAAAATCTATGTCAAAATTCTCCCCAGCTAGCTGTGCTACAAATATTAGTTGCCCTGGAATTGCATTAGGGCCTACTCGTTGATGGAATATCCATCAACTGATTCTACAGACATTTACTTGTATCAATTTAGGATGACAGTCATTGAGACAGCTTTGGATTTCTTTCAATAAGAAATCATCTGATCCTGTACTGTGGAAACTATGAAGATGAGCACTATATGTAATGGAACAATGTATAGTGTCCTTTCTTCACTCAGGTTCCAGCCTTGTATATTGCAGGGTAACTGGGAGAGAAAAAAGAAAACTCTCTGGACAATTTGAAAGAAGAAAAACAGCATTGAGTCTCTAAAAGAATTTGGGGTTTTTTTGATGTGCAGGTTGTTTTAACAGGGCAGATGATTCAAGGCATTGCTCTCATCCTAATCCTCTTAATCCCTCATGAAACATCCATGATGGCATTTACATAGAAAATACAAAGACACTTACTCTTCCTTTAAAATGTATATAAAATCCTTTATCTCGCCGGGCGGTGGTGGCGCACGCCTTTAATCCCAGCACTCGGGAGGCAGAGCCAGGCGGATCGCTGTGAGTTCGAGGCCAGCCTGGGCTACCAAGTGAGTCTCAAGAAAGGCGCAAAGCTACACAGAGAAACCCTGTCTCGAAAAAGAAAAAAAAAGAAAAAAAAATCCTTTATCTCCAGTGGCCATGGTACAGTGTAAAATAAAAAGCCACATATCCCCAATTTGCCAACCTCATATTCAATATTCTTCACTTTCCAAAAGCACTTGGGATGAATAAAACTTGCCAACTGAAGTGGAATGTTCAGGATCAAGAAGAGTAAAATCAACTTGAACATTTTTTTTCTGTTCTAAGCCGGGGAACTTTGGATTACTACATGACATGAAGATCAGCACATCAAGGATATCTCAACCCTGATATTTCTACCTGCTTTTATTTCTGTGGCCAAATAAGAGGCAATTTATGCATTCATTTATTCCTTTTATTTTTTATGCAGTTGTTTCCACACCCATTGAGAATACTTTGAAACTCTCTTGCCTGGGGCTAAGCATCTGATATCCACAATGCCTGTCATGAAATTTGGCTGATAAACACATATGAGAATAATTCAGCTAGTTTCATGATATCATTCATCTTTTTGGAAATTAGTGCCCCAGGGGAGATGACGTTTTGAGAAAATTTGGTTCCATGTGTGCATCATCAATGTGTTAATGTTATCAGCTTCAGAAATGATGTCAGGGGATTTTGTGAGATTATCCACAGTGAGACATGCTTTATTGGTTTAGGACACACTTAGTCAGAATTCATGTTTATACATTGGGAATTGTATCACAAACTCCACATCAGGGAAAAGCAGCTTTTGTTTAGAGCAATTGAATTACACACATCAGGTACAGTGGGGCCTACTCTATACCAACAACAGTACACAATATCTACCTAAAGCCTGTGATTCCATTATCTTGAAAACCAATGATCAGTCCAAATCATTTAGTTTCCTGAATACAACTCTTCCAAAATTATCCAGCTCATCATAGAACCACAGTTCATTTACAAATTAAATGTTGATTTTTAAATACTCAGGAGCTCCAGAATGAACACTAGATCTGTGTGCCTCATTTCATATACTACATCATTTCATATACTACATAAGACATATCACTACTCCTCCTCCTAACCAATCATTACTACTAATGAGAAATTAAGTTAAATATTTAATTTCTAAACCAAGATACCTCTCTGTGATCCTCAGTTCTCACAGACCAATACTCATTTTATAGTCCAGTAGTGACTGCAAAGAAGTCTTATTGAGTATTTTAGAAGTAAATAGAAACTGGGAAGTTATGCTGTGTTTTATGTATAAATTCTTCTCATACAATTTTCCTACTCATCTACGTAGTTTGCCTCCTGGAACCTACACTGCCACTGTGATAATGTTTTGCTGAGCATGGGCCAAAGAGCCTCTCTCAGTGGATATGGACTGCAGAGAATGTAAGACAAATGTAGGGCAAGTCTTTGTTGTGGATGGTAATATGTCCTATTTAGTATCTGAGATGAGGCAAACAGGACTACTGTTCTCCTCTCAATCTTATTGTACATTTAGTAATAAACATTTAAAAAGTGAATGGACTGTAATTTTGTGATGAGCTATTTTGTGGTCCTAGGATGTAGATATAGAGGAATGTGACAGGAAGATTGTTTCATAGGAATACAGAGCAAATTCAGCTTTCATGGGGAGGGCAAATAAAACTTCCAGTGGTTCAGGTTCAGCATGGTATGGAGTTTTGTTTTGTGTGGAATAACATTTTTTAATTAATATACAGCATGGAAGGTTTTATTCTGGCAACTCACATATAGGTAGCATGTCCTTTATCAGTATTTGCTTTTCTGTCACCCACATTTGCTGTTCATTTTGTTAGTGATTCCATTCTTCAGTTCAAACAGCTTCCTTTTGCTTTGTAACTATTATGTGCTTGTTCAGTTCATGAGACAGATATGATATTATCTTCATACTGCTTCAGATTGTATACCATGCTCAATTCCTTCAGACCTTCAATTCTCAAATAATACCTCTCCTAATTTCATAGGGCAAAAATGAGTGTATATATGCACACAAACACATGAACACACACACAAACACACATACATACACTGTTACATCTAGAGTCTGTAAAAATTTGAATTTTGAGTCTGTTTTCTTAGTTAACATGATGACCTCCTACTCCATCCCCAATTCCTGCTAATGACATCATTTAATTCTTACAGGTTGATTACAACTCCATTATTTGTGTGAAAATTCTGTGAGTCTTTCATCTGTATTCCAATATGCCTAAGAGAATTCTGTACCCAGTATTCTTATTTGTTTAATTATATCACTTGTTTCAATCATTTATGAATTACATAGCAGCTATTTATTTTATACTTCTCTACAATCAGTGTATAAGGTTTAGTTAAAAAGAACTGTGCATATATTTATGTGAGGTAAATCATGGAATGAAGATTTCAAAATTCTAATGTATTATAAATAGCAATAATAAATATTTTATATATGAAAATAAAATCACAAAACTCAGATGAAATCTTTTGTTTATTTCCTCATCTGCTAAGAGGCATCTTGGTTGATTCCATGTCTTTAATATTCTTAATAGTGTTGAAATAAACAAGGGCAGTCAAGTGTCTATGTGCATTGTTGACTTAGGTACTTTCAGAAAGTTCCATAATGGACCAGAAGATACTATTACATTTACTGACTGACTGAATTAGTTGTATATTAGCCTACCACTATGAGGCCCAAGTTTCTACTCACACTAGAAACATTCACGGGAATTCCCACAATTCCTACATACTCATTAATTTCTTTGGTAATTTTAAGCTATTCATTGTCATTCTGGTATGGAATTCCCATCTTAACTGTGGTTTTCTATTATTATAGCTAAAACATTTGAATGTACTTCCAAACTCATCTTGTCTTACAAGATTCAAAAAAGGGAAAAATACTCATTATTATAAAGATGTCAGCATTACTAAATTTTAATGCTGGCTATGGACTTATAAACTTCATTCACTCTGCTGAGGTATGACCCCTACATCCCTTGTGTCCCCAGACTATTACAATGATAGATGTTGGATTTTTTTGTCAAAGGCTTGCTTTATTTAATAAAAATATCAGATGCTCATTCTTTCTTATTTCAGTTTGTTTATATGATTGATACATTAATTGATTTTGTTATATTGAACCATCCCTGCATTGCTGGAATGATAATTTTTGTAACACAAGTCTTAAAAGGTCTTATTAATAAAAAAAAATACCTGGAGCAAGGTATTTGGGTGAACACTGAGAGATCAGAGAAACAGAACAAGTCACATCCAACCTCACCTCGACAATTCCTCAGCTGATCTGGTTTCCTCAAATTGGAAGCCTCTATGTCCTCATCTGAATAAATCTCAGCTGAACTGTTGCTAAAATCCTAAAAGCTTAACAGGCCTCTGGTTCCTGGTTCTCACGCATCATATACCCTTCTGCTTTCTGCCATCACTTTGTGGGATTAAAGGCGTGTGTTTATCCCAAGCAAAGACATGAGATCTCAAGTGCTAAGATTAAAGGTATGTGCCACAACACCTGGCTCTGTTCCTAGTGTGACCTTGAACTCACCAAGATCCACACAGATCTCTGCTTCCCAAGTGATAGGATGAAAGGTGTGTGTGCAACCATTTTCTGGCCTCCATGTCTGTCTAGTGGCTGTTCTGTTCTCTGACCCCAGATAAGTTTACTAGGGTGCACGATATATTGGGAACACAATATCACCACAAATTTTAATAAGATATTGGATTTGTTGTACAGTTATTTTATTGCATACATGCTTTGATTATCACAAGGGTAATTGGTCAGCTATTATCTGTTTATTGGGCCCTTTCTGTCATTGGGTATCAGGTACTTAGAAGTTTGAGTTCTATACTGAACTGCTAAGTGGAGAGTGTTCAGCCTTGTCTTGTTCCTGAATTTAGTGGAATCTCTTTGAGTTTCTCTGCATTTAATTTGATATTGGCTGCAGGTTTGCTATAAATTGACTTTATTATATTGAGATATGTTCCTTCTATTCCTGATTTTTCAAGACCTTTATCATCAGGGGTGTTGGTTTTTGTGGAAGGTTTTCTTAGCATCTAATGAGACAGAATGATGTGGTTTTTTTCATTCAGTTTGTTCTATGGACTATTACATTGACAGATTTTCATATGTTTAGCCATTTATGCGTCTATGGGATGAAGCCTATTCATCATGATTTTTTTCAATGTGTTCTTGGATTAGGTTTGCCACTATTTTATTTAGCACTTTTGCATCAATGTTCATGAAGGACATTGTTCTGTAATTCTCTTTCTTTGTTGCATCTTTGTGTGATTTGTGTATAACAGTAAGTTTAGCCTCATAAAAGGAGTTTGGCAAGACCCAGAGAGGTCTGCCCCTAGATCCCATCCCTGGGCACCAACCATTCCAGGGAAGACCTGCCCAACTTGGCCCCAGGTTCTGACCATCTGGCAGGATCCCCATCCACACCCACCGGGAAGGTCCCCCTTCTCCAAGACCCCCTGCAGACCCTGCAATCTCCATGCCCTGCCCCTATGCCCATCCTCCCAAGACCCCAACCACTTCCTGAGACTTAGAGACCAGCTCCCAGCTCCCATCCTGCCCAAGACCTCCAATCTGGACAAGAGCCACGTCCTGAGAATTAGAGACCAACCCCCAGCTCCCATCCAGCCCCAGAACTCCCATCTGGACAAGAGGGGATTGCCTGGGCTCAGACTCAGAGATCTTCCCCTAGATGCCAACCCTGGGCACCAGCCATTCCAGGGAAGAACTGCCCAACTTGTCCCTAAGTTCTGGCCATCTGGCAGGATCCCCTCCACCCCCACCGGGAAGTTTCCCCTTCTTGAAGACCCCCAGCAGACCCCGCAATCTCCATGCACTGCCCCCACGCCCATCCACCGGAGACCTCAGCCACTTCCTGAAACTTAGAGACCAGCCCCCAGCTCCCATCCTGTCCTGTACCTCCCATCTGGACAAGAGAGAGAGGCTTCCTGAATCTGTCAGCTCTATCAGGATCAAAAGCGCTGATAAGACCAAGAATGAATCCACAAGGAGATGGGCAGACGTCAAGGCAGAAGTACATACAACAAAATGAAGAGCACTACACCATCACCAGAACCTAGCCCTCCTCCAACAGCTAGACCTGAACATCACAAAATGGAAGAAGCAGGACAAAGCAACCTTATGAATAACATCATGAAGAGGGTAGAGGCTTATATAGAAGAAATCAAAAATGAAACGGAGGAACAGACAAACAA